CTCAGTGTGTTTTTAAATGAAAGGAAACAATGGCCCCATGACAGAATGAGTGTGCTAATAGGGGCTAATCATTGCACTAGCTCTTTTTGTGTTTTCAAAATCACTAAAAGCTTGAAAAGCTGTTTTATTGACACAGTGTTGGCTAATTAAACAAATGGGATCTTTCAGGCTGCTGTTTTTCTTCTTTTTTGTTGGCTTTGTTTACAGTTTGTCCAACAAGCCTATTATGTTTTCTATTTTACACATTTTAATATTCATTAAAATGTGCAGCCTTGCTAGAAAGAAAATAAGTAATTATCAATAAAATAGGCGACTGATAATGCATGTGGGATTTGTTTTCTTAAAGTGCGGCTTATAGCTACATTCTTGAGTTTATAGTCTAATTTTCTCCAGATTTAATTAGCAAGTTAAAGCAGGCTGGCTGCTAGATCCGGGCGGCTTGTTTTAAACAGACTCCAGTCAGGATAATCACCAACCTCCTCTCTTAAACTCATTCATACAGTCAGGGATCTGCACGGACAGCAGCGGATAACCTTACTGTGCAGACTACGTATAAAGCTGCTCTAATATATTCCCACAGGAAGGCTTCCCACTCTATAATTGTTGACTGCTGCAGAGGGTCTAAAGAGCAGCAATACTCTTTAATGTACTTATAAACACAAGCACATATAAACACACACGAACACACACACACAATTGCCTTGAGAAAGATTTGAGAGTGGTACTCAAGGAGGAATAATTATAGATGGCATTGAATTTCCTGCTCTCCACCGTGTGCAAACAGTGTTTAGAGGGTTTGCTTACTTCACATGTTTACACCATGGCACGACTTGGCAGCAGGGCCACATTATTGTAGTGTGTTTGAATGTCTGCAGTGGAGACAGGAAGCTGTGTCACCACTTCCATACACAAGTAGTTTCATTTATTCCATTTCTTTTCAGAAGTGGACATGAATAGAAGCTGGAGCACCATGATGTTTCCGTTTACAAACAATCTGACATCTTGCAGTTCTCCAAGCTCTGCAAACTGGTGAAACCTTCAGCTTGTCTGGCATCATGAGCGCAGAGAGAGACTGGTTGTTAGCTAGTACGTGCTGTTTGTGAAGCGCGAGTAACTGGCGGTTTGCCTGCGGATATGTGCATGTTCTGTATAGTTATGGTTATGCATGAATGCTTGAAACAATGCTCCCCCCCCCAATACCTGGAGCTGTTGTGTTTGTTCTACAGAATATAAACAGTAATTGAATATACATCCCTGAGCTGACAGTGAAACCTCATTATCAGCCCCGGTGCGGAAGAGAGTCAAGGGAGAAAGAAGGCACATGGACCACCAGGGAGAAGGGGGGAGGGAGAGGGAGAAGATCAGGAGATATTCAATGCCTTGATTCGGTTAAAATCACAATCAAAATACATGTTGAAGGGACGAAAGAGAAGGAAAATGGATGTTAAAAGCTCACCTGTCCAGACACAGATTACAAGACAAAAAGATGAAGAAAGTGTCCTTGTGTTGGCCCGCCGTTAACCAACAGAACAGCTTCAGTGTTTCCTGGCAATGATCCTGAATATCTCTTCTCTATTTGAGTTTTAACGCTGCTGGTGACTAGTACCCCCTGTAGGTATTAAAGCTGGTGACTATGAAGGCCGTAGTTCACCATTTTAATACAAATGACATCATTCTCGATCTTTGCACCTTGTCTGAAAGCATCTGTATTTATGTGTCTTTCCATTAAGGGTTATATATGTCAGCTGTCTTCATGAAGTAAATGACCTATCACCTGAAAGAGTAGAGGAAGCAAAGAAAGATGGAGAAGGGGAAAGAAGCAAATAAAGAGATTGTGCAGGGTTAATGATAGGGAGAGGAATGCTGAGTTTATGTTGTTTAATTGAAGCTACTGTAGTTCAGTCCTCTTTGTTATTCAGGCATTGTACAAACCCTCCAGGCCTAGGCTCCACGGGAACGAAAACGGGTTGAATCCGCATATTTCTCATGCGTATAGCCCTTTAAGCTCGACGACGCCGTAACGGAAACGTAGAAACAGACCCTGCAAACGACAACAGGTCCAAAGGTGGATAGATCTGGGAACGGAGCGCTCTGGGGGGTCCTAGTTATAAATATGTTTATTTTTACTGTCGAGTCACTCATTACAGGATCAGCTGCTGCATGAGACAGACACTGACGCTGTCAGAAGAGAGGAAAAAGAGACAGCCTCCGTGTATTTTATTATTATATATCATTATATCGTCGTTATTCATTTGTTTTAAAGCTCAATAAATAACAAAGAAGACCTTTGACCGGCACTTTTACAATTTTGTCCGGAAGATTTCAACTTTAGCACACGTTGACCGGCGAAAAACTCTGCCCGGTTCCCTCAGCCCCCACCGCGGAGAATAAACAGAAGTGCAGCCATGACAACCATTCTTCTTCGCTGCTTTTGTGGAGGAAGTTGCTGCTTTTGTGGAGGAAGTTACAGCGCCACGTACAGGCTCGGCATATGTACTGCAGCTTTTCCAGCGGTTGGATGTAAACGGAGCCGTCTCGTGGAGCTTGACACAATCCGGTGTATATTGCGTGTGGGCGGAAGCTTTTTTGCGGTTGCGTTTGCGTTACTCCGATGCGTTTTGCCGTATGCGTTCCTGTGGAGCCGGGGCCTGCGGTGCAGAGCGAGACATTGACAGAGTGGGGGAGAGAGGCAGAGTGGGGGAGGGAGGGGATGCGGAGATTGCTGCAAGGCGAGGAAGACAATGTGATGTGACACTGTAGGAAACGGTAAGGAGGCAGAAGGGAGGAAGGGTGGAGCTATCTGGTAGGTGTTATCAGGTTAAGCCACCCACCACTGGCTGTCGTCATAGTAACACCATGGTAACGACCAGGTGTGGAGACTGGGTGAAGGAAGACCTTCTGCTACCTCTGCGTGTTTCCTCATTAATTGATGTCTTCATCTCATTCAGTGTTTCTCAGGTTTTGCTTGTATGAAAGGCGGTTGTATTTACTACAGGTAAAGTGACTTGCATTTCCAAAACCCATGAACAATTACTTGAACAATTTATTGATTACCGGAGGAGTTTTGTGGATCAACTAATCGATAAGTCCACGAAATACTACAGCTCTAGATGAGGTTGATCCTCAATATTATGATGTATATAAATACAAACTAAAACAGAAGCTCAAAAAGTACATCTGATCTCTTAGCAGCGGTTTAATTTATGTATATGAATTGATGTGGTCTAGTTGAGGTCAAGTGCAGCTTTTGTTCTGATTATTGTTTGTTTTTGTACGTATGTACTGTATGGGCATATATGTCTCTGACTGTATGTCTTAAACCTATAATCTGATTTGATAACGTGCTTACAGAGATGTCCGTTTCAATCCGTCGGTGTTTGCTCTGTTACATCACTTTGTGTGCGAGTGTGTGTGTGTGTCGCTCAGCAGACTGGGCAACAGACGCGCTGCACATGGACACACACTAGAAACAAAGACACACACGTGCTCATGCCATGGATGCACTGCAGGCTAGACACATATAGAACGCTAAATCAAACACACAGAGCTTTGCAGTGGCTCTTAAAGGAAAACTGTACACATCAAGCCAATTGATGCATTTAATGGTTTTAAATGCAAAAAGCTAATTCATGAAATGTATTCATCTTAATCTTTACTAGGATTAGGAGCTCAATTAGTCTTTGACAGAAAAACGAATTATTTTGTTAAACAATCAACCTTTATAATATTTTTTTAAAGCAAACGTTTATTTAGCCTCTCCAATATAAAAAATATCAGCTTTTTTCTGTTAAATATGATATAAAACAGATTATATTAGGCTTATGGACTGACAAAACAACATTATCTTGGATTTTAAGTGAATTTATTAACCAAACTGTTAACCTAGTATTGAATCATCAGATGAAAAAAAAAAAGAGCAATATTTTTATTTTAAAAAACAAAACATGTTCACTGCCCTTCTGTATTTGGGTGATTTAAGGTGAGAGGTGCACACAGAGATGTGACGTTTAGCTAAAGTTCACTCACTTCCAGCTCTCACTGAACAGTTTGAAGTCCTCGTTGCCCTCCTCATCCCTCAAAATCCACCTATCTCCTTTACATAGATTCTGTTTGATTCCCTATTCTCTTTATTTAAAATGATTTTGATAAAACACAGCCAGTTTATACTGTGCTGTTTTGTACAAAGTTGTTTGTTTCAGTAATCTCAAAGTGTGCCCCCAACACATAAGTAATGCAGTAGACCCCATAATGACAACCTGCTCTTGGGGTGATGTTCAGTAGCTGAAAGAGGACTTGGACACTGTGAGCATTAGTCTCACACTATTTGTGATTTATTATTCCACTTGGCTGTCACCACTGACTATTGAGATAAGCTATTTGTGGCAGGTTACACATTTTAACAGCCTGTAGTATTTCAGCTAATTGTTTGTGTTTTGTGGGCTTTTTACACGCAGTGAGAGCCAAGTTTGGTTTTGTCGAAATTACAAATATAACCCACGGTCTCATTCATAAATGATCAGAATCTTAGTTTATACTGTATGCCTGCAAGCCCGAGGCTTTTAAGGGGTACTTCTTACCCAGTACAACAACCTTGAAAATGTGATACAGAAAAAAAAATGAATATTTAATTGGAGAATGTACCCTCTAAAATCAGATGCTATTTAAACCTGGGTGACTATAGTGAACAATGCTTTTTGTACACGGGTGAATATAGTATACATCAAGTTTCAACCTCAGACAAAGGAACACTTCAAAGCAAAACATCTGCCTAGGGAATTGTCAAAGTAACCGAATTGTGAACTAAAGACAAAGAAACAGAGTGTTGGAGGCATGAGAAAAAATGTAGGAGGAAGTTTGCGAGACAGAAGGGAGGTAATCCTGCGGAGGGACACTCCTCAGGGTCCTCATATCCTTCCTCTGTGTCCTATTAAATTACCTCTCTTGAACCTGTATGCTTCCTGATATGACTGAGTCTAACCTGCATATTTTGTTTTTTACAGATAAACCTGCGGCTCATTTTAGTCAGCGGGAAGACGAAAGAGTTCCTCTTCTCTCCCAACGACTCAGCAGCAGACATTGCCAAACACGTGTATGACAACTGGCCGATGGGTGAGTAGCAGCTCCATCTAAATATCCTGTCTTTGCTACTGGCAATGGCAGTTGATGAAGATGTAGCAGCAGTTACATCAACATGTGTGGTCCCAAGGTGAAGGCAATAAAACCCTCCTTAGGTGATCCACATATTTCTTCCTCTTTGATCAGACAATGATTTATTTGTGATTCTCATCACTATTATTTCTTTATTTTCCCCAAAGCCTCCTCCATAGGGTTGGGCCGGTGTAGAGGTTGTAAAACAATAATCAAGGGCGTCTGTTTTGACACCAGGCTTTCAGCGATGGAATATTTAAACTCGCCTTGTCTCTTCAACCCATCAAATGCATGAGCTTTCTATTAAGAAAACACTATGTGCACTTAGTCCTATATTGGTGTTATTTTGTAATAAATCACGTTATTGCATAAGCCTAGTTCCAGTGTGTTTGCTTAAGGTGTACTTGCTAACTAATTAGCTGCTAATGCTCTTGGAAACCAGGTGATCTGACTCATCCTGGATGTATTTTCTATGACAAAGATACAAGCAGCTGGTTCGCTTATCCAGAGAGCTGAGATCACATTCAAACCCACTTTTTATTATTTACATGTAGTTCTATAGAGCAGTGTGGGAACATGCGGTCTTTGGTTAAGAGTAATTAGTGGGCTCCTCCTTTCCGCACGCTTATCATTGCATACAGGAATGTCAATTTGCAGTAACTCCCTAACTGCAACAGTGTTACAAATCATTTGATACTGCCGATCTCACTCCTTCACATCTGATGCTGTGAATGTAGTCTAGTTTTAGAGAAGCATTTAACCACTATAAACTTTACTGGTGGTTTCATATCCTCCTTGACAAGAGCAGTTTCCCTTCCAGTCCTGTCAGATCACACAGTGTTCCTGCCAGACAACAGATCTGAACCCTGTGAGACTGTAAGCATCAACACCCTCCGTTTAGATGGAGACAAACATCTGGTGGCCAGACGCTGCTGCTGTGCAACTCCCCCCACTGTTTTGCTCTCGGGTTTATTTCTTCACTTTTGTCTGTAGCTCTTCCCAGGCCACACCCCTTGTTCCTCTGTTGCTTTCCTTCTTTCTCACATTCGGTTATGCATCCCACAAAGCCCACACATTATACATTCTGCATGTAATGATTTCAAATAAAGGCTTTAAAGTGATTTAAAAATAACTTCACTGCGGTTGTTGGTGGTCTTTTTTCTCTCACCATGCAATTATTCCTTTTCATTGCACTGTTGATGCATATCCACTGAATTAACTCAGAGCCCCATAACAGCTCATAGCCCCTCGTGTCCTTTTGTTAAACTACAGATTGGCAACCTTTTAGCAATGTTTAATAAGAAACTCATTTTGTGGTTTTTACAGGTAGCAATAGAAAAGGTTGTGAAATGTCTTTATTGAACCTGCATGTTCTCAGTTTAGAGATTATAGATTATATAATGATGATTTATGGGAAATAGATTAAATAAATGGCAATCAAGACAAACAAACTTGCAATGGCAATCAGGAAGAAAAGAAAATATATGAAGCGTGTTTCCTGTTTTTCTCTTCGTCGATTTCTTTCTTCAACTCTCTCTTTGCCCCTTTTTTCTTTCAGACTGGGAGGAAGAGCAGGTCAGCAGTCCTAACATCCTGAGGCTGATCTACCAGGGCCGCTTTCTCCACGGCAACGTAACACTAGGAGGTGAGAAAACACAGAAAGTGCACCTCCCAAAATAAAAAGTGCTCATAGACATGGACACAAAATCACAGCAGTGTGTTGCTGGAAAGTTCTTTGCTGTTCTTCCTGAGCCGCAGAACAGAGGTACCTCAGTGCTCCGGACAAGCCTGCTTTGACGGAGAGTGGGAGGAGAGAGGAAATAGAGAAAAAGAGAGTGGTCAGGAAGGGGGCAAGACTGGCGTTAGAGTAGACCTCAAACAGCACAACAAAGAGACAGGAAGGGAGGGGGGCGTCAAAATGAAAAGTGAAGAGAAAAATAGGAGTGCAGCCCACTTCACTTCTCCCTGGCTTTCAGGCGTTTTAGTCTACTTAACCCAATTTTGGTTTGACTGGTGTTCTGTGTTGTTAATGGGGTTATGGCCGTCCCTGACCCTTTTACACTCATCCCATTACTGCATTTATCTGATAATTCCCTTGTCGTTGGCTCAACGCGTTTGCACGTCCACACAGAATCCTCTTAAAGTCGAGCCAAAACAACGAGTAGATGTTTATATTTTGAAATATAAACATAGACAGAACCACGTGTGTGAAGGCAGAGTTCATGATATAAATAAGCGGGTTTTGGGATTGGGTTTTCATAAAGTTCAAAATAGGACATTGGGATGTGGTTAAATGACTGTTTAACACAAGGCCATAAATACATGAAGAAGCAGTGATTGCTCTGTTCCATAGTTTTTCATTACATGAATCAACTCTTGATGTTAGCAAAATAAAACTGTGAATAGCTGATTTTAAAATGTGTTACATGAGTAACATATGATCAGGTCATCACAATATGTAAGTCAATCATCATCTTTATTTATTGGAAGTGAAAGCATTTAAAACTGTCTTTGCTTGCTGCATGCTGAGTTATTTCAACAGTGAATTTAGTTACTCAGGGGATGGGGGGGGGGGAGGGGATCATTGAATTGCTTCGTTACCTGCAAGAGATTATTATTCTGCAACAAAAGACAGACATGCTGTAGCTCACTGAATAACCTTACATCCTCTCTCTCTCTCTCTCTCTCTCTCTCTCTCTATCTCTCTCTCTCTCATCTCTCTCTCTCTCTCTCTCTCTCTCTCTCTCTCTCTCTCTCTCTCCTCTCTCTCTCTCTCTCTCTCTCTCTCCTCTCTCTCTCTCTGTGTATTTCTCCCCTGTAGCTCTCAAACTGCCCTTGGGGAAGACCACAGTGATGCATTTAGTTGCCAGAGAGACTTTGCCTGAGCCAAATTCCCAAGGTAACAAGCCCTCCTTTCCTTTCAGTAGGCCTTTTCACACGCTGAGCCACTTTAATCGTTCCGCTCCCAGACATTATTTATCTCTACACATGGCTTCTGTTTAAGGAACAGTCACCAGTGCAAATAATTGGCTCCATTAAGGGTATCTCCAAGATACAGCACATTGTGTACAATGCACAGCTGATATAAATCATATTAGTTGACTGGTCTCCTTTTTGTGTAGTAGAAGCTGATTGTGTGTTTAGAACAGGCCCTGATTTAACCTAACAATAGGCAGAGATCAGAGGGACATTTAAGGTCACACAAAGCGCTACATTTATTGACTATCCACAGTTTGCTATGCATTCTGGGTAAGATAAACTCAAGGTAAGGTCAAATAAATAATTACCCCATGTTAACCCCAGAAGAAAATGTCCTCTAGGGAAGAAATATTAAAGGGCAATGGTAAGTTATTTAAATAAATAGCAGCACAAATGGTTACTGTGGTTACTCGCTCCACAACATGTAGCACACTACAAATAGAGCCATGTTTTCCCCTTTTTAGTCAGTTTGCAAGGAAGGGGTGTACAATTAATCAATGTTTTGTTGAACATGGTCTAATGCAACTATCAATTTGCAGTAGGCATAATGTTTGGTAAAAGAGAAATGTTTAAATTAAATGTTGTCATGCTGCAGAGATGTCCATGGTTGCATGTATTTGATTGGCCATAGCATCTTGTTTGATGATGACCTTGTCTGCCAGGGTTTTTCCTGATGATGATGGTGTGTGTGTGTGTGTTTGTTTGTGTGTGTTTTCAGGTCAGAGGAATAGAGAGAAGACCGGGGAGAGTAACTGCTGTGTCATTCTGTAAATACACACCACTGCCGCCGGCCCTCCATCCTTCTCATCCGATCTCTCCCTCAACATCCTGGACCTAATGAGTGTGTCCCCTGTCCTGGAGCCTGTCCACAGTGCGGATATGCGTACAGACAAACACGCGCACACCCTTCTCTATTTCTTTTGATCCCCTTCTCTCTCTCTCACACACACACACACACACACACACACACACACACACATACACATACACATACACATACACATACACATACACATACACATACACATACACATATATATATATAGAAAGACAGCAGGCTCTGGCTGATTCAGGACACAGAGTTGAGAGCAGGAAATTGATTAACAATAGAGTTGATTCCTTTGTTGTACTTGATTTGTTGTCATAACTGAAAATGTGTGGAAGGAACTGGATTTGCATGTGTTTTTTTCCCTTTTTCTTTTCTTAATGCACACCTTTTTAAGCCTTCTGCAACACACTTGTACACACGCATACAAGCAACAGACACACACACTTTGTCTAGCCCCCCTTGGCCGGTGTGTCAAAAGTCCTTTACTAACTGGCTCCTCATTCCAGCTGGTTGTCATAGTAATGTGTGTGGCATTGTTTTCTCATACAGACCACTGAGAATTTTAACCACTGACAACTCGCCAACACACCAACACATGTATACACACAAACACACATACACACACACACGCACACACACACACACACACACACACACACACACACACACACACACACACACACACACACACACACTATGACATCCTGTATACACATCCTACCATATGTGCTTGTGTGATCTCCCTCGGTGCAGCAGACTTAGACGTGCCTGATCAGAAAACTCAAACCAGGACACACAAACACACATATATAGACACACCGGTGTCCTTTTTACTGCCCTCATCTGCCCTTAAAGGTCACAAGAGAGAAATTATTCCTTTTTGTCTGCAGGGCGCTGTAGAGACCGATGCATCCTACTCTTTCACTCGTCATATTCTTAGCCAAACAAAGCCTAACAAACAGACAAATAGACAAACAACCATTGTTGGTGGTGTTGTTTTGGTTATTTGTTTGTCCATGACATTTGTGACTGTGTTTTGACAGTCCATGCATATTACTGACCGCCCAGTGTTGTAAAAAAATGAAACGTCATGTCAGTTACCTTCCCTCCCTGATGCACCATCCCCTCTCTCTGTGAGGAAAGGCTCATTGTGCTTCTTTTCTAACAGTGTTGTGAAGGATCTCTACGACAAATTGCTCTTGAGCAGGGAAATGAGCTCGGAATGAAATTGTTCCTTATTCGTCTTAATTCGCTTCTTACTCTTTCCTTGATTCTCTCTCTCTGCATTAATACAGTAAGTCCATTTTGCACAACGGAAGCATGTGCTCCTTCATCAGATTAATTCAAATGTATAAAAAGTTTTATTGTTTTATTTTATATTTTTCCAATGGAAGTAATGTTCCAAACTAAGGTAACGTGTAGATTATATTTAATATGAATCTTATATAGAACATGATGACTTTAGATCTTGTTGATATACAGTATATTGGTGTTTAGTCCATGATTGTGTATATGGTTAGCTTCTAGCCAGTTCACTGTCACTCGCTGACAATGTCTTGTGCTTAACAGCAACACCTCCCTAATCATCGACGGACTGTATTTTTATTTTCTCTTTTATTATTTTTTCATTTGTTTATAATTTAATGTAATCCTTTTTTTCTTTGTGAGTTTTTTTGCTTTAAAGAATCGCTTTGTAACAGCACTAGGTCTTAAAAAAAAATGTATTGTTTATATTGATCAGGGTTCAAATCTGTACAGAGATAAAAGTTTTCAAACCAATTGTAAATAGCACTAATGCTCCTTCTCCCCCATTCAAACTTCAAAATGGAATACATCTGTAAACAAAATAAAGGTTATTGAAGTGCACTGCCTTTTGTCTTGCCTTAAAGTCGTAAAACTCTCAAGTGTCACCTGATTTTGACATCCTTCTGTTGAAAATCACTTGAGTGTCAACAAGTGTTTTAACACACAGCTGAATCAAGGAGGCATGTTAAGCTGACTTAACAAATGTTCAACTACCGACGACTACTTGGAAGTGGCTGGTAAAGTATTACTGCGAAAAAGGCTTTGAAACGGTCAGCACACAAGTTAAGATAATAAGCTGTTTAAAGTTAGTATTAATGAACTTGAATGCAAAACACCTAACTTATTTTATTGACCAGTGATGCCTTCAAGGGCTTTGATACTTTCTCAACTTAAAGTAGTACCACATAGTAAAAATCCTCAAGTAACAGTATAGGGTTATTAAACCTGACATGTAAGCAGCATTTCAATGTACCTGGTTGAAGCGGCATTTTATTTTCACTAATTTTGGTTAGCTATACCACAGAATGTAAGGTAATGATTTTATTCTAGTTTCGCAAGAACAGGGAACCTGAGAGTGTCTGGGTAAATGTAGAAATAAGCACTCAAGTAAAGTACCACAAACTGTACCTCTTACAACTTAAATAAATGTGTATGTGTGTGGATAATTATTACTCCTCAGTTAAGCCTTGCTCAATTTACATAAAAATGAATCAGTGATTTAAATTGTCAGAAGGGAGAAAGATTGCTAACTAACCGCTCGCTCAACATTCAATAAAGATGATAGACTGATAAAGTCTTGATGCAAGAAAGAAAAAAACTTCACTGAATATTCGTTTTACTGTGTCCACTTTGCACAACAGTCAGTAGGCCAAAGTGCAGCAGGAAGAACAGAGTGGAACACCGAGTACAGTTCAGACTGCCATCTCAACAGCACTTTCTGAGCTGTTTGGTGCTCTACATGCACTCTGCTTTGGGGAAAGTGTGTGACATGGCAGCATGGTATCAGGTGTGTTGTTATTTGCAAAAAAAACATTAGGATATACATGTTATTAAAAGATGATGACTGGACTTCTGTTGCCTTCAGTGAAATCCTGTGTAGTTTTTCCTTTCCTCCCTGTTTTTATCCCTCCCACCCTCCTCTCCTGGGTTAGGGTCATGCAGTCATGCTGTGTCCACACAGTGACATGAATACAACTATTCTTTGGGTGACACACACACACACACACACACACACACACACACACACACTCACTGTTTAGAGAGTCTGGGTGCAGACAGAGAGGATTGTAGTTACAGTAGTAACATTCAGAACGGCACACTCTGTTTTCTTGACATTAATCCCAGTATCGCTGCTGCCTGGCCCCTGAACAATACACTAGTCTTTTTAAACAGGCAAATGATTGTTTGAAAAGTTGTGTCAGTCTGCATAAATAAACATTTTAAGGTATGATTTAAATACATTTGGCATTTAAATATAGGCCTATAACTAGACAAAAAACTGTAGTAAACTGTATATGATTTGATGCATCTTGTGAAGGACAAAAGCTACAAAAATAAATACTTGAGTCGATACATTTTAGAAATTGCTATTAAATGTACCGAAAATAACATCAATGTTTTTTCAGCTCTAGTCTCTAGGCAGATACAAATGTAAAGAGAGTAAAAAAAAAGTTATATTTTAGCTTTGTATTAATACTTATGTTCTTGTTTAGATGCATTACATAGGCAAAAAATGTATTATGGGGTATGGTCCAACAAACATTTTTGCTCAGTGTGTGACCAATAACAAGCCGCTTAAAGGTTTGAGGATGTCGCCATCTTCTGGTCAAATACCTCTGTAGCATCACTTTAACCACCAGTGCTAACAAATGTATTACTTGAATGATACTGGCCAAGTGTTTTTTTGTTTCTGCTTAGGTCAGGTGAACATAAACCCCTTGCAATGTTATCCTATAGTTAGATATTTCTGCACACCTGTTCTGAATAAACATGACCTCAATACACATGTGCTGTTGTCATTTAAATCCCCATGGTAGGCCATCATGATTAGTAGTAGTTATATCATGATATGGTAGACACATATGTTTATATAATAATGCAGGATGTGCCTTACTTTAATATCACTTTACTTAGCCTCTACCAAAAGTAAAGAGTGGAAAACATTACTGCTGCGTTAGAAGGAAATATTGCTTTAATTTAAGTAGAATGGGAAGGGTGAGCAGATGTTGCTATAGAGAGGCGAAGTCCCGCCCTTCTACTTCCGCCCCATGGGACCTTATTTCGGAAAAATTATGCATTGAAGTCAATGGGGAGAGAAAGATTATCTTTCGATCCCGTTTGAATTGTGCCACGAATTACACATATGATGTTTGTCAATCTTAAATAATAATTTCCATGTAAAAAAAGTCACAGTTTGTCGTAAAACTGTTGAAATATAAGACTATGAAAAATACGCAACTAGAAAGACTACAAATCCCAGAATCCCGGTCCCGCATGCTGGCTCTTACGAACCGACTAACTCCCCTTTTGTGTATGTACGGCTCTCAACATGCCCAGACTTGTAGTGATTTTCACCTCTTTTAATACTTTCCGCCTCATTCTGAAAGAAAGAGGTGAAATGTGCCAACGTGACGGCCGTCTTGGTGTGTGGTGCGAGACGGGAGATGTAGTTCATTGAGCGGTTTCACACAAAAGAAAATGTTACTTCACATTTTTACGACACATTTTTATTCTTTTGACTTGCAAAATTATCTTTTAAATTGACAAACATCATATGTGTAATTCGTGGCTCAATTCAAACGGGATCGAAAGATAATCTTTCTCTCCCCATTGACTTCAATACATATTTTTTCCGAAATAAGGTCCCATGGAGCTCCCCCGGAAAGGGAGGGACTTCGCCTCTCTATAGCCCTCATTTGGATAGATTCACCTACTGAGATATCTATAAACGTAGCCGGCCCCTCGGGGCGGGCCTACCTGAATGCGCGCGCAAGCCCACCATATATAAGGTGGCCATGCCACGTCAGGACTTCACCAAGGACTTCCCCTTGGTGATGGCCATGGCGGCAGAGCGTGTAGGGCTTCCGCTCCCCCCACCACTGCCACCGAAGCCGGTGAGCCGCCTCTGTCAGGGGTTCTACGGCCCGGTTCGTCCGGCACAGCAGGCCTTCATCTCGCCACCGTTACCAGATATCTGGCAGTGTGTGGAGGCGACATGGCGGTAGCCACTGAAGACGAAGGCTCCAGTGGCAGGTATGGCGGGAATCCTTAGGGTGCAGGGCCGCTCGGACACAGCGTGTCCCGCCGTGCCCCCTCTTGATGAGAGCCTGGCGGCCCATCTGCTTCCACAGGCAGCTGGATGGGCGGAGGGGAAGAAGCCTCTGCCCCCGCTGCCTCGTGACCGAGAAATACTGGAATATTTGGACAAAATATTCCAGCTCAGAACGCAGATGGCGGCAGCGGCCAATAATCTCGGTGTGTTGGGCATCTCGTTGATCACCTCTCAGCAGGACGCCCCCGCCCCCCCGCCTCAGGACGGGAGTGATTATTTGGACCGCTGCATTGGTCAGATGAACAATCTGATCCATGGTGTAGCCGCCACAGCTGGCCGTGTGATGTCCCTGGCCACAGTGGCGTCACGTCACGTGTGGTTGGGACTCACCGCACTTTCCAGGAAGGATCGTGATTATCTCCTTGGGGCCCCCGTATCCACGGAAGGGCTCTTTGGATCGATCACCTCGGTCACACAGCACTTCAGTCGCTTGGAGGGAGAGAGGGTGCAGCTCAGCCGCATGCTGCCGCTGGCTCTTCCTCGGGCTCCTCCTCAGGGGAGAGAGCGCGGCGCTACGGTGAGAAGGAGAGAGAGACGCCGGTACAGAGCCCCCGCGGCTCCCGTTGCTCCCTCTACCTCCTCGGCTCGTCCCGCGGAACCGGCTCAATACCTGCATTCGTGGGGACCCTGACAGGCTTCTGCTCCGGCTCCACCTCAGCAGAGGGCTTCTGGGTGGGGTGCACCATCCTCCCGGAGCTGACTGGCGGTGGGAGGAAGCGTCCCAGCGGAGAGAGTGGCTTTCTCCACCAAGAACGCGAGGGCGAATCCCGCCTCCTCCCTCTACGATGCAAAGATTGTGACACACACTTTCAATAAAAATGATTGCATTTATCCCAGTCTAAGTGTCATTTCTCTCCACAATTCCACACTTCCACATAATGTTAACCGTACAGATTCCCCACTCGCTGCCCTAGTTGTAACTCCAGTAAAGGAAGCAGCTAGTGGACATGCGCATGTGAGGGTGATAAACCGCAGGAAATGCTATCAAAGCGCTATGCGGGTACAGGGACATTGGGGGGGGCTGCATCCCACGAGAGCACGCCGCGGTGCGTTCAAGGACCTCAGTAGAAAATCGGCCCTTTCTGTGTCAGCCCCCCATGGGCCGAACTTCTTTTCATGGAGAGTTTGGCGGCGGAGTGGGCCACCAGGGAGTACCACAGCTTCCTAGCTGTGGCTCCACAGCTGATTGCTTGTCCCCTAACACAGTGTTAATCGGAATGGAAGCTCAGCTGTGTATTAACAAAGTGGATGGACAGGACACTGAAACAGGGTTACTCACTCCAGTTTTGCAGCGTCCCTCCTCCATTCAACGGCATAAGAGAGGCAAATCTATCATCCCAGGAGGAGATAGGTTTCCTTTCGGCAGAGATTCAGGCCCTGTTGCAAAAACAGGCGGTGTCTGTTGTGCACCCTCAGCACAGAGAGAAGGGGCTTTATTCCATGTACTTCCTGGTTCCCAAGAAGACAGGAGAATTCAGACCCATTCTGGATCTCCGCAGCCTGAATCAGCACATTGCCTGCAAAAAATTCCATATGTTAACTATAAAACAGTTATTGGAACTAGTGCAGCCGGGCGATTGGTTCACAACCATCGACCTGAGGGACGCTTACTTTCATGTCGAAATTGCTCCAGAGCACAGAAAGTATTTGCGTTTTGCCTTCCAGGGGATAGCCTACGAGTACAACAGACTCGGCTACTCCCTATCCCCACGCACGTTCAGCAAATGGGTGGCCACAGTGCTTCAGCCGCTTCGCGACCATGGCATGAGGGTTTTCTTTTATCTGGACAACCTTATAGTCATGGCCAGGTCCAGGGAATGGGCAATGTTTCACACAGCCCAATTGATCCTACATCTAACCAAGTTGGGTTTTGCGGTCAATTGGAAGAAGAGCAATCCCATACCTCACCAACAGGTGCAGTATCTGGGGATGTTGCTCGATACAGGCAGGCTACGCACCACCCTGTCAGAGAGCAGACAGGCATCCCTGCTTCGGGCAGTTTGCAGACTGCGACAGGGGGCAACGGTGACAGCTTTGACCATCATGCAGACTCTGGGTCTCATGGCGGCTGCTCACTTCGTGGTGCCGCTGGGGTTGCTGCATATGCGCCGCCTGCAGAGGTGGTTTGCCGGCCTTCGTTTAGATCCCAAGAGGCACAAACGACGTCTGGTGACCACAGCGGAGAACCTGTGGTTATGGGCTTCAGAGATTGTGTTGTCTCTGAGAGCCCTCCACATCCCGGGACTGGAGAACAGGGGGGCCGACCTCATGTCAAGAGGCGGGCCCCTGCCAGGCGAGTGGGTGCTTCACCCGGAGGTGGTGAAGCAGATCTGGGCCCAGTTCGGGAGAGCGGAGGTGGACCTGTTTGCCAACCGGCGCAACAGCCACTGTACCCTGTGGTTTTCCATGGCTCGGCGAGACAATCCGCCCTTGGGGGTGGACGCGTTTGCACACGAGCCATGGCCAAGAAAGCTGCTCTACGCCTTTCCACCACTGCGCCTCATTCTCCCCCTCCTGGAGAGGGTGAGACAAGAACGTCTGTTAGTCATCCTAGTGGCCCCAGATCGCCGCGGGGCGCCGTGGTTCGCAGAGGTGACACAGATGATGGTGGGCCAGCCCTGGGTGATTCCTCAGGTCTGGGGGGCGATGTCTCAGGAAGCAGGTACAATAGGGGCGTTACCCTTTCTGGGCCAACCTCTCCAGGCCTGCCTCCTCAGAGGGACAGGCTGAGACAGGGGGGACTGTCTGACAAAATTATTCAGACTATCCAGGCAGCAAGAGCAGGATCCACCACAGCCTGTTACAGGCCAAAGTGGTTGGGATTCCAGCGATGGTGTGAAGAGGGGAGTCTAGAGCCCCTATCTTGTACGCTGGGCTCTATTCTGTCCTACTTATGGAGGCGGAGCCCTCTACCTGGGGCCCTGTCTGTCCTATGCCGCTCGCTGAAGAGGGTGTAGGATGACAGTCAGGAGGCGTGGCCGCCTTATATACAGTGGGCTTGTGCACGCATTCAGGTAGGCCCGCCCCGAGGGGCCGGCTACGTTTATAGATATCTCAGTAGGTGAATGCTCGCATAGTATGGTTGAGAGGTAGTACCCATAGAGTCCAGTAGAGGGCTCCGTCTGTGCTTATATAACTAGGGTTACAATACGTAACCCCCCCCGTATGCATACACACCAGATGGGAAGGCTACATGTGTGTAGCATAGAGTACTGTTCCAAAAAAGCAAGCTTTTATATTGTAAATAGGCTAGTTTAGGTTGTGTTTTCCCAGACAGCAGGGGCGGACTGGCCATTGGGAATACCGGTGGGCCGGTACCGAAGTGGGCCGGTCGGACAAATCACTAGCACCCCCCACCCCCCCCCCCCCTGTTGACAATTGACTAGCGGTACCGAGTTGGGCCGGTCGGCCGGTTGAGTTTCCCGGGCTGATTTTTAGTCCCAGTCCGCCCCTGCCAGACAGTATTGAAATATAAGAATATTTACAGTAAGTGCCATGAAATTCAGTCTACTGGTCTACTCATGTATTGTACCTAAGTAGCCTACGATTTTGGGGTTCTTGTACTTTACTAATGTTTTTCTTTGTTATGCTACTTTATACTTCTACTTCAATACAATTTGGAACCCAATCTCAATTTATGACAATCATTTAGACAACATTAGTTACTAGTTTCTTTCCAGATTATTAGCAATTATATTAATATAAATTAACCAAGAAATAAAATATGCTTTGAAGTTGTAGGTAAAATATCTAGCAGTAGTATATCAAGTAATTAAAAGTAACTGAACTTTTATTTAAGTAGAAGGTGAATGCAGGACTTTTATATGAGTAAGATGTCTGAGTACTACTTCTTCCACCACTGATGAAATTATAAAACTACAAAAATGGCTGCAAAATGTCAGTTGGTTAAGGTAAACTGTTGGAAACATGGTCGGAAACAAGTAGCTAAAAATAGGAGTAATAGCCTGCTAACGTTACCAGGCAACCGGAGAACATACTGGGAGGGACCGAGGTGAGTTTATAGGAAGTATTTGTTTGCGTTATGTTTTTACTATGACAAACGAGAGGCTTCAATGATTGGGGCTAATAATGGGGTCAAATGTAGCTAGGCTAGAGTTAACTTCCCAAGAGAAAACGCTCAACGCTAAGCTAGCTAAATAAACGTTAGTTAGCAAGGTAAGTCTCTTTGTAAACCAACACGGAGATTCAAATATGGCGACTGAACTAGCTAACCTGCTAGTGAACTAGTTAGCCAGGTAGAGTTGGTTAATGGTTAACTCCAGTGGTGGAAAGTAACGAAGTACATTTCCTGAAGTACTGTACTTAATTACACATTTGAGGTACTTGTACTTTACCCGAGAATCTTACTACTTTATACTTCTACTCTACTACATGTTATACTTTTTACCCCCCTACATTCATTTAACATATTTATTGACTATTTACTTAGGGTTAGCTTAGAAGTTTTTTGTTCAAAAATATTTCACAGTTCAAGCTTTTTTAAATGTGAAGAGTTGCTGCTTTTGCTTTAAGACATTTACAAAAATATTGAGTACTTTTACTTAAGTACTATTCGCGTTGCGGTACATTCACTTGAAATTGAGTAATGACAGTGTGTTTTTTTTTGTGTAATGTGAACACATCAGCCATAAACTGTTGCTAAAATATAGTGACTGAGTATCCGTCTATTTTTCATGATATATTACTGCCTCGTGGTGGCCCAAAATGTATTCACCTTTATTATTTAGGGCAACTTTTAACAATAGGATATTGACTTACTGTACAACACATTGCTTTTGGATGACCTAAAAGGCATGCATATTGTACATTTCTTACAGTGGGCTCGCTCATGCTGGGGAGTCTTTAGGACCAGAATGGAGAAATGGATCTAACCCTGTGACCCTCTCGAAGCACATATGAGTGAGTACAAAATCAAGAAACACTTAAGTACACAAACCTACTGTAAGCTTTAACCTCTAAGCTTTGATACAACCTGAAGAAGATTGTGATGCATTTTAAATGTCAGGTTTGTAGTCTTATATGCCACGTTTGCTGTTTTGGTCCTCTATTTAAAAAATGTAAACATCAGATTTTAATTCAAAGCATTTGCTTTATATTCAACAGTACATGAGGGCCATTCTGTAATGCTGGAGAGCTGTCAGTTCCAGCAGGGGTGAGCTTTTTAAGTTGCCTAAAGGAATAGCAATCTGGTTTTCAGATGATTTTATGATGGAAGATACTTTTCTGTTGCTGGTATACAGTAGATGAGCACAAACTTTCAATGTACAGTTAAGTTTTATTTTATTTCTTTTTAGGTTTCCTTACTGTAGTTTAAGGAAAACTCAAAAGTACTTGAACAACAATAAGCTGCAGCATTTTTGTGATAAACATTTGTGCTACTGTCTGTAATTTGGTCTGAACCCTCACAGGATCAATTAGTCAGTTTGATCATAACATGTTAAAGCACGACTGTTTCCCCCGGGGAAAAGCCTGGTTTCAGAAGAAAAACTGTTCAGGTCTCTCCTGAGGGCAAAGGAGAAGTTACAGTTGAGTAGCTTTGAGGTGCGATTCCCTCGGGTCACTCTGCTGCGGGGTTGACAGACCTGTTTCTAATAGAAGGAAGTCAAGCTGTCATGATGATTGCTTTAAGTTCTCTTTACTAAAGTTAGTATTCAGGCAACTTAGGAAGACTTGAGATAAAAAAATACTTCACAGCACCGTCACTTTTGTTCACTACTACGACTACTCTTGCTATTTCTGATACTTTTGCTAATAAGACTGACTAAAATTATTACTACTGTTACTATTACTGTTTGAAAAAAGCAGCGTTCTATTTCTAATTGAATAAAAACTCTCTTTTTTTCTATAATTTCAATTCTACAGTAACAATATCTCGAGGATTATACCTTAGAAATCTTAGGCTATAGCCAACAGGAAAATAAGCTGTAGTTGGTTAGCTAAAATGTTAATTAAATAGTTTGGCAAAAAAAGAACTTTCAAAGATGCATTGCGATTCACGTTTTGGGCATTGTCTCCTCAGTAGAGCGCCCAAAGTACGCTCTGAGAGTGTGCTGACCTAAATAACCGAAAGCTTACTAAAGTAGTATTGGTATTCCCTATATGTGTACTGCATCTTCAGATAGTAATCCTACTCTACCAGTACTGTGATTAAGACGACAAGCTTATGTATATTTTACACAAGTGCAGCATACGTTATTAGTTATCAATATATAGTGACAGAAAGTTATTATTATTATTAATGTTTAAATTAATGTTAAATACAAAAAATACCAGCACTTTTACAGCTTGTAGGGTGTGTATTTTCAGCTTTCCTTTATCTTATTCTGAAATCTTGAAGAAGTAACCAAGTAAATTAATTTTCTTAACAAATTAACTGCATAAATTGATAAATAATAAAGGTATTAGTTGCAGCCCCACTTCGCTGCCCCTACAGTCCTGTGTCAGGTTGATTTTCTCAAGAGGCTAATCTCCGAGTTTTTTTTTGCAGAATGTAAAATAGTGTAATGGTCCCTGCAGGCCTGAGTCCGTGGATACATGCGTCATTTTGCCTTCTATTTATTTGCAGAAGACACAATTAACACCTGTAGTACCCAGGGAGCCAATTTAATTAATTTGGCGACTAAACCGTAATAATAAATCCCTACAGATAATAATCAATGTAATAATTTGTTTGTAGATGTCTAAAGGCTCTGGGGCTTTAATAGTCTCTTGAGTAGGTTCTGTGTTTTAGACACCGCACACTGAGCCAATTGAAACTAATAAGTATAATGAATGTACATACCCCAGGAATTTAAAATGGGCTTTCTCTGAGGCAGGGTTTATTCAATCTCCCTCTTGCTTTACTGTTCTCGTTGTTCTATGATTTGCCTTTACCCGCTACATCGTTAGATTTCACATAAATAATGATATTATAATAGATATTCTCACCGTGTAAATATCTTTCAAAAGCATCAACGCGCAACAATTTGCAACGATATTCAAGGATTTGGTCAGAAATATTGTGATATATGATTGAATTTGTAACGCCAAGCCTTAATTTCCAGGATAAACAGGTGAGTTATACTTTTATTTATTTTCTCTTTAGGTTTGGCCTAGGATTTTAAAGCATCATTACAAATATGCTGCTTTAAATGTGTTGTCATAGAATATAAAAAATGAATCCTGAGCATTCTTCTATTGTGTGCATGGCATTGTATCTTGAAATGCTTCGCTAGTTATTTAGGTCTCTATTCACACTTACTTACTTAATGAAATTTCATTATGTGAAGTGAATGTCAACTAAGCAGGGCAACACGGTAAGATTACATTTTTTACCCTCATATGTGATTTAAAGTCTGTGTAGTAAACATTATTGGTTAGTTGAACATTTTTGTAAATAGCTTTATTGAAGATCAAAACCACTTGTGACTCATGACTGGGCACGACATGTCATTAGTGGAAGTAAGAGAACCCAGCAGTGTGAAGTTTAAATACAACTCAACTAACATAAACTTAAAAGAAAAAAGGTATATCTGGGGTGTTTAATCCATGCAGCCTAATCTAGAAATGTTTTTACTTGAGTATCACTGGAACAGTTTCTGACACAGTAAGTCAATACGTGTATTTCCCAAAATAAATTATGTCAGGTGGCAATGCATGTCATCAAGAACATCGATTTTTGGTATTTGTGAATAGTTGAAGATGAGAGGATTTTATTTGTATTTTTTTCGTGAATCAATATTTTTCACTTTAATCCTAACAAGCCAGTATTTTATTTTGTAGTTAAAGTAATCCAGGAAGTTAAAACTTTCTTACTTCATAAGGCAATTTTCATCTTGCTGTATTTCAATTGACCTAACATGACCCGCTCTCTCACTTGATTGCCACAAATGATGTTTACCTAACTGTTCTGGATGTGTCATCATCCTGCAGGAGCAGTGTCAACAAACATCTCATTAACAGCCTCATTAGACAGAGCTGTTTCACGTTCAACAAGGGAGTGCAGAACTGTCAAGGTTTCAAGTTTTTACTCACGACGACTGCAACAGTGATACATTCACAGTTCAAGTGAAAAACAGCAACACAAACTTTTATTCTTTCTGACTTCATGGAGTATTTACAGTATTTATTATGTTTTTTGACTTCATGTAGTATTTAGATTATTTATTATGTTAAAAACAGCATGATCAGATGCGTACTATAAAACACACTTTTTTACATCAATAGTATGTTTCAGCAGGATGAATTGATATGATGTTGTCTACAGCATCTTCAACTTAGCTTTGAAAACATTTCACAGCTCAAATATGGCAATACATTTTGAAACTCAAAGATGAAAGATTCTTTAAAAGATTTCTCCATGTAGTTTTATATAAGATCAGAGGCTTGTACTACGAAGCTGGTTCAACCTAACCTGGATATGTTTGAGTTAGCCGGTTGGCCCAATCCAAAACATACGCGCTCTGGCTAAACTGTACTACGACGATGGTTATCAAGTGGATCGCTCAAGCCAGCCGTGTCCTATCTAGTTAGGTGCGCGTTCACCTGAAAGGGGTGGTATTTGGAGCATTCGACCAATCTCAAACACGGACAAGCGTACTGACAGCGCAGCGTCATACTTCCTGAATGAAAAGTGAACTTTAATATTAGTCAAATATGAAGAAGTTAAACTTTAAACATCCATGTCTTAAACACTTTATCCAGGATAAAAGCCACATAGCTGCACCTGCAAGGTGAATACAGCTGGTAAAAGAAAAAGTGTTTGAATGCGTACATTAACAGGTTTATGAAATCACTGCCCCGTCCAAGACACGAGTGGATCTGACTTTAATTACATTTGACTCGAGTGTTTCGTCAACTTAATGTGTTGCTTAAAATAATACTTCTGCATACAGTATGTGACACTGTGAGTGTTGCACGGCCAGATACGGCTCAAGAAGCTGACTCAAATAAGGAAATATATGATACATTATGATGTGATATGATATGAATGATAATGGGACACATCGACGTCTGCACTCACAGTGCCGCGGACTGTACTTAATGTTACTCTGATCCGGTTACTTATGTCGTGGCAGATATTTAAGTAAGCTTTCTTAACGCTAATATTATAATAGTCAGATTTCTCTGAAGATGGGAGGGGATATTCTATTAATTTTCACGTTCACACAGTCAGTTGATTTTGGCCGGGCGTCTTTCCTGCAACGGCAGTTTTTCTGTATTTCCTCTATCCTGTAATATGAATTGATCGCTTTAAACTCTGCACACGGAGCTCTGATTGGTCAGCAGGCGGTGCTTTCACTGAGTTGATCTCTTGGCCTGCCACCTAACCTGCTCCGGAGCAGGTTTGCCGCTCAGCATAAGTTACCATGGAAATCTAGCCTGCTAAAAAGAGAACCAGCGTCGTAGGACCGGAAAGCCCGAGATTTCCCTGAAGTTAGCCGGCTAAGCGAAAATCCAGCTTCGTAGTACAGAGGCCTGTACTACGAAGCTGGTTCAACTTAACCTGGATATGTTGGAGTTAGCCGGTTGGCCTAAGCCAAAACATACGCGCTGGCGCTAAGCTGTACTACGACGCCGGTTATCAAGTGGATCGCTCAAGCCAGCCGTGTCCTATCTAGTTAGGTGCGCGTTCACATGAAAGGGGTGGTATTTGGAGCATTCGACCAATCTCAAACACGGACAAGCGTACTGACAGCGCAGCGTCATACTTCCTGAATGAAAAGTGAACTTTAATATTAGTCAAATATGAAGAAGTTAAACTTTAAACATCCATGTCTTAAACACTTTATCCAGGATAAAAGCCACATAGCTGCACCTGCAAGGTGAATACAGCTGGTAAAAGAAAAAGTGTTTGAATGCGTACAGTACATTAACAGGTTTATGAAATCACTGCCCCGTCCAAGACACGAGTGGATCTGACTTTAATTAGGAGAATTTGACTCGAGTGTTTCGTCAACTTAATGTGTTGCTTAAAATAATACTTCTGCATACAGTATGTGACACTGTGAGTGTTGCACGGCCAGATACGGCTCAAGAAGCTGACTCAAATAAGGAAATATATGATACATTATGATGTGATATGATATGAATGATAATGGCACACATCGACGTCTGCACTCACAGTGCCGCGGACTGTACTTAATGTTACTCTGATCTGGTTACTTATGTCGTGGCAGATATTTAAGTAAGCTTTCTTAACGCTAATATTATAATAGTCAGATTGCTCTGAAGATGGGAGGGGATATTCTATTAATTTTCACGTTCACACAGTCAGTTGATTTTTGCCGGCTGTCTTTCCTGCAACGGCAGTTTTTCTGTATTTCCTCTATCCTGTAATATGACTTGATCGCTTTAAACTCCGCACACACGGAGCTCTGATTGGTCAGCAGGCGGTGCTTTCACTGAGTTGATCTCTTAGCCTGGAACCTAACCTGCTCCGGAGCAGGTTAGCTGCTCAGCATAAGTTACCATGGAAATCTAGCCTGCTAAAAAGAGAACCAGCGTCGTAGGACCGGAAAGCCCGAGATTTCCCTGAATTTAGCCGGCTAAGCGAAAATCCAGCTTCGTAGTACAGGCCTCAGGCCTCAGGTATTCCTCGATCTGTTATGTTGATGTTGTACAGAATAAAGACTGTATCAGCATGTTGCTAGAGTTACATCAATCACTAAACTACTTTCATATACTTGAATTACTTTTCAACGTTAATCAGCCGAATTTCTACCATAAATAATGACCTGAAATATTCCCCCTCATAGTGTTATCTGTGTACACAGGCCTATAGATACAGTACTCTGCTGAAAGTATCAAACTTCGTTTCAGTAAATATCATGGTAAACAGCCACCTCCTCCTGCCATTAGCCTCGTGCACCCCAGCGTGATGTCCATCTGAAGTGATTGACAGCTACAGTATATCTAGAAACGTTGACCAATCAGAGCAGACTCAGGAGATCAGCTGGTTCAGAAAAGAGCAATATTTAGGCATGTAGTATGAGAAGAATAAAGGGGTTCTTGAACATTAGAGCATGTTAACATATTCGTTAACATGTAACATCGTTAATGTAGAAATATGTCTTTCAGGTCGACTGATGTGAACCAATCTAGCCTGATAACTTGCAGTCTGTGCCAGCTGTGCGGCTGAAGCGGCTATCATAATTTTTCTGGGCCAGTTTGTCCTTGTTTCATGCTTGGGTAGAGCAATAGGGCCACTTTGCTAGGGATTTTGAACTGGGAGGGCACTGAGCGAATTTCTCTCGGGGGTAGGTGAAGGCGGCGACTGGAACTTTGCCGGGAAGGCAAAGCAGGATAGCCTACGCCACCTTCTAGCCGCACGCTGCTTCTGCATTAGAGGCCAGAGCGGTACAGAAAAAGGGGAGCAGGGACAATTGGCATGTCCAAAATGTTTCTTTCTCCCTTTCCGGTTTGTCAGGTTGAGCTGTCTGGCTCTTGACTGCACTCCCTCATCCCAGGGGCATTGCAGTGGGCCTTCTAACAAGACTTTCCTTCTGTAAGTCTGTGGTTATTAACAGCTATTTCTGTGACCACGGCCAGATATATCGACTGGCTTGCAATAAAGCGCTTTCGGCGAGGCAGGATGCAGGGCAACCGGCGCAGGTAGGTGGGAATATTCGACAGTAGAGGCGGGACGGACGATTTATGGTTGCCAGATGTAGGTTTGGGCAGCAATATCAACTCCAGTGAGGGTCTGAGGTGGAGGAGAGCTTGGCGATCGTAAACGAGCAGAGCAGAGACATTCTGACAAACATAAAACAAAAACAGGATAGCTAAAGGTAGAGAGCTGAGGGAGTGGCGTGCCGACACAGGCGCCATCTTGAATCACGTCGAAAAAATATGGAACGTTACCATGTCCATATGTGATTTGATTTTCTCAGTGTGTCCCTTAGCAAATTGAGTTTAACACTCCTGCTCCGCAGGCTTCGACTGGATAGCTGCATTGGATATTCCTGTCAGTAGACTTCCTAAGTGCAAGACGTTCATTGGACTAAAGATGTATTTTTTTCTGGTGCTTGCGTACAAGAGACTCAAGGGAACAGACCTTCCATTTGACACAAACAATGTTAGGGATTGCAAAATAGCTAACGCTCATCAGGGCTTCATTGTCGGAAAGAGAGCAGAGAGAAGAGCTCACCTGTGTCCAACAGAACACAGTGCTGACGCACAGTTCTGTTCTCTGCATTAAAGACTGTGCTTCCCACAGCGTAGGTTTGAGAGGTTTTTCATTATGGACTTCTTCAACTCAGCTCTTGGAAAAAACATCACTTTTGTGCGTCCTGAATATTTCATAATAAGTGGATTTATTGGCATACCGAATATCAATTATTACTATGTATTCCTCTTTTTTGTTTATATTGTTTCAGTGTTGGGAAACACAGCTGTGATGGCCATAATATACTTGGACCATAGGCTGAGAACTCCAAAATATATTGTAGTTTTTAATTTAGCATTTGTGGACCTGTGTGGTAGCTCTGCTTTGGTGCCAAAGGTTCTTGATATCTTTCTGTTTAACCATCAGTACATCCCCTACGCTGACTGCTTGGCATTTCTTTTTTTCTGCTACACGTGCCTTTCAATGCAGGTTCTTAATCTAGTTGCACTCTCGTATGACAGACTGATAGCTATCATCTACCCACTGCACTACCAAGTGAAGGTGACCCACAGGTTCATACTGTCTTTGATTGCCTGTTTCTGGGTCTTTGTTATTACTGTTATACTTATTGCAGTGGGCCTTCTAACAAGACTTTCCTTCTGTAAGTCTGTGGTTATTAACAGCTATTTCTGTGACCACGGCCAGATATATCGGATGGCCTGCAATGACTATAAACCTACTTATTACTTTAGTTGGTTTTTAGTAGTTCTAATTCTTTGGCTTCCACTCACATTTATTTTGTTTACTTATTCATGTATCGGCTATGCATTGTCTAAAGTTGCCACAGTTCATGAAAGAGTGAAGGCCTTTAAAACCTGCACAGCTCATCTTTCGTTGGTGGTAATCTATTTCGTCCCAATATTAGTCACATTTACTTTGGGTTCACAAATACCTCCAAATGCCAGGATTCTAAACCTGTCTCTGACCTCTGTCTTTCCTCCAATGCTGAATCCAATCATTTATGTTTTGCAGACGCAAGAAATCAAAGAATCTATGAAAAAAAGATTGAAATTTAGAAAGAAATCCCAAATTACAGTGAAGAGAGAAATCATGAAATGATTATTTGTGTATTTAATTTGGACATTGTTTTAATGCCGTTAGGTTAATTTTATTAATTTCTTTAACATCCCATACATATTTTAACATTTAATTAATCACAAGTTATTTCATAGAAATTACATTATAATCATTGAGCTTTAAATTAATAAACTAACTAATAGACAGCACAAAACAGTAAACATTAGAAATACAGTGTGTCAGGTATAACACACCTACTGTACAATGAGAGTTCTCTGCTATTTGTTTTATTGTGATCAAAGTGTGTGTCTCTGTGCATGTTGTCTTGAAGGAGTCTACTGTATATTAGAAAACAAATTGTGTCTTCAATGTAGTCTTTTACAGCATAATCAAAAGCATACAAATAAACCAATTTAGTATTCATAAAAATCAGTGACTATAAAAGTTTTTTTTTGCAATCAAATGATGTATCCTTGTTCTGCTTCTTCATGTTTGTCGATGGATACCTCATATTTAAAAAGTAACAAGACATATTTTGTCTCTTGGTCCGCTTCTCTTTTCTGAATCAATCTATGTTTTCTAACTCAACACTAATGACATGAAACCCTTCAGGTATCATCAAGGATGGATGTAGTTTAGACCGATATGACGAGTGGTTTGTGTGGATTTAAAAAAATAAAAAAACGTATGAATATATAAAGAAACTATAATGCTCAATTTCAGTCGGGAATGAGACGTGTCCGTAGAAGGAGTTCTAGATTGGGGACCAAATGAATACGTGGCAGTAAATAATTCCCCAGAAATTCACGTATTACTTATCCATGTTAATTTTGTTTTTTAATGAATGTCCTTGGTAGGAATAAATGGACTTTGGTTAAATTCAAAAGTCAGAGTAGCTAAATAGGAAAGTAAAGAGAGAAAGACCATGGCCTTGTCTGCTGCTTGTTAGCCTGCTTGTATCATGTTGTCAGAACTAATTATTAAAGGGCACATGTCATGGCCATTTCCACTGATCATAATTCTATTGTTGAGGTCTACTAGAATAGATTTATATTGTGCAATTTTCCAAACTCACATTGGTTTCTCATACAGCATCTCTGTAAACTACGTGTATTCACTGAATTTCACTCTCTGCCTTTAACAGCTCGTTGTAGCTCCAATAGCTCCAGCCCCCACCCTCCCTGTGAGCACAGTGTGCTCTGATTGGTCGGGACGTTGTGAATCGCGCTGAGCTCCGTGGAGGTGTTGTTTCCTTGTTAGCGATACACAGCCAAACACAGCCAAACTCATCCTGAGCACACACAAAGTCACAGCCGAAGTAAAAACAATAAGTGTGGCTTGATATTGAGTAAGAAAAAGGTTGATAAACGCTGTGAGAATGGGTCTGCAGAGAGAATTTCGCCACGATCCCAACTGTCTGTTATCAGCCTGCAGCCAGGGAGGAGAAATCAGCAGAGCTCCCTGCTCCCTGCACACAGATGTGTGTGTGAGGAAGTCCGTGGATTGGTCAATTTGGACCAATCAGCGGGGGCTTAACGTAACGGCTCCGCGGACGTAACGTAACGGCTCCACGGATTGGTCCATTTCGTTACGGGTACGGCTTGACATCATGCCGTACCCGGAACGAAATGGAAGACTCAAATGGACAATGACGTATCTCCAACGAGGCGTTTTGGGGAGGTATTTTTTGTGTTAGAGTTTTACTCGCTACAGGGTGTACTTTGAGGGTTTGTGACTCTGCACACCGTTTACATGCATACAAACCTTCATAACACACAAGGGGACGGGTAATAACCGGAAAAGCATGACATGGGCCCTTTAAGCTTCAGGAAATGCTATGATGGCTATGCACAACTTTTGAATTGACTTTTTTTGTGCTTTATTTGGACCAAAGTGAATGTCAAAGGCTGATGTGACATTTACAATATTATCAAATATGTTGACATTTTTAAATACAAAAATAAAACGGCTTTTAAATCAACTGTTTATTTCTGGCTCTTGATGTGATTTTATTTTCTCAGTGTGTCCCTTAGCAAATTGAGTTTAACACTCCTGCTCCGCAGGCTTCGACTAGATAGCTGCATTGGATATTCCTGTCAGTGCTGTCTTTGATTGCCTGTTTCTGGGTCTTTGTTATTACTGTTGTACTTATTGTCGTCGGCCTTCTAACAAGACTTTCCTTCTGTAAGTCTGTGGTTATTAACAGCTATTTCTGTGACCACGGCCAGATATATCGGATGGCCTGCAATGACTATAAACCTACTTATTACTTTAGTTGGTTTTTAGTAGTTCTAATTCTTTGGCTTCCATTCACATTTATTTTGTTTACTTATTCATGTATCGGCTATGCATTGTCTAAAGTTGCCACAGTTCATGAAAGAGTGAAGGCCTTTAAAACCTGCACAGCTCATCTTTCGTTGGTGGTAATCTATTTCGTCCCAATATTAGTCACATTTACTTTGGGTTCACAAATACCTCCAAATGCCAGGATTCTAAACCTGTCTCTGACCTCTGTCTTTCCTCCAATGCTGAATCCAATCATTTATGTTTTGCAGACGCAAGAAATCAAAGAATCTATGAAAAAAAGATTGAAATTTAGAAAGAAATCCCAAATTACAGTGAAGAGAGAAATCATGAAATGATTATTTGTGTATTTAATTTGGACATTGTTTTAATGCCGTTAGGTTAATTTTATTAATTTAAATAAATCTCTCTATCAAGATCACAAACTTTATCTAAAATGTCAAATACGTTGTCTCAATAAATTAGGTTTGCATTTGGAGGTCTGTAACAACATCTTACCAACAAAGGTTTCAAGTGTGGTAAATTAATTTGCAACCAAAGTACTTCAATATCAGCAGACATCAAATCATATCTCACTTTAGCTGGTATTTGCTTTTGAACGTATACTGCCACCCCACCTCCATATGCATTCCTGTCCTTTCTAAATATACTATATCCATGAATGTCCACTGCAGCGTCATTAAAGGTGTCATCTACAGTAAGTGAGTTTCAGATATTGCTAACAACTGAATACCACATGATAATATTTCCTCTATCTCAGACACTTTATTTCTTAGACTACAGTTTACTTGGTAACTTATTTGACATTAAGATGGCAAATTAAATGTTATCTCATTTTCACTTCCTTTCAAATTGAGAGCTGAACTAAAACATACATGTAACACAATTTCAACCACACACACCATCAACCCAACATTTAACTGCACATAGATTGCTATACATGTGCATACTCACTCACTCACTCAATTAGACGAGTCTCCTGGTAGCTCCCAAACCTTTTTAGATAATATTCATTGTATGAAATAGATTCATGGTAATATGAAAAGTGGTTTGTGTGGATTAAAAAAATAAACGTATTCATATATAAAGAAACTATAATGCTTTCAATTATAGTCGGGAATGTGGAGTGTCGGTAGAATGAGTTCTGGATTGGGGACCAAATGAATACATGGCAGAGACTAACTCCCCCAAAATTCACGTATTACTTATCCATGTTAAGTTTTAAAAAAAAGTAATGCCCTTGGTAGGAATGAATGGGCTTCGGCTAAATGCCATAGTTAAAGTAAGTAAATGGGAAAGTCAAGAGAGAAGGACCATGGCCTTGTTTGCTGCTTGTTAGCCTGCTTGTATCATGTTGTCAGAACCAATTATTAAGCTTCAGGAAATGCTATGATAGCTGAACTTTTTAATTTACTTTTTTTGTGCTTTATTTGGACGAATGTCAAAGGCTAATTGTAAATAAACAATATAATAAAATATGTTTAAAATGTTTGACTTTTTTAGTTTATAAAAACAAATTGCTTGTAAATTAACTGTTAATGTCTGGCTCTTGATGTGATTTTCTTTACCAGTATGCCCCTTAGTAAAATAGAATTTGACACTCATGCTTGACTGGATAGCTGCATTGGATATTCCTGTCAGTAGACTTCCTAAGTGCAAGAAGTTCATTGGACTAAAGATGTATTTGTTTCTGGTGCTTGCGTACAAGAGACTCAATTGAACAGACCTTCCATTTGACACAAACAATGTTAGGGATTGCAAAATACCTAACGCTCATCAGAGCTTCATCGTCGGAAAGAGAGCAGAGAGAAGAGCTCACCTCTGTCCAACAGAACACAGTGCTGACGCACAGTTCTGTTCTCTGCATTAAAGACTGTGCTTCGGACAGCGTAGGTTTGAGAGGTTTTTCATAATGGACTTCTTCAACTCAGCTCTTGGAAAAAACATCACTTTTGTGCGTCCTGAATATTTCATAATAAGTGGATTTATTGGAATTCCTAATATCAATTATTACTATGTATTCCTCTTTTTTGTTTACATTGTTTCAGTGTTGGGAAACACAGCTGTGATGGCCATAATATACTTGGACCATAGGCTGAGAACTCCAAAATATATTGTAGTTTTTAATTTAGCATTTGTGGACCTGTGTGGTAGCTCTGCTTTGGTGCCAAAGGTTCTTGATATCTTTCTGTTTAACCATCAGTACATCCCCTACGCTGACTGCTTGGCATTTCTTTTTTTCTGCTACACGTGCCTTTCAATGCAGGTTCTTAATCTAGTTGCACTCTCGTATGACAGACTGATAGCTATCATCTACCCACTGCACTACCAAGTGAAGGTGACCCACAGGTTCATGCTGTCTTTGATTGCCTGTTTCTGGGTCTTTGTTATTACTGTTTTACTTATTGCAGTGGGCCTTCTAACAAGACTTTCCTTCTGTAAGTCTGTGGTTATTAACAGCTATTTCTGTGACCACGGCCAGATATATCGGATGGCCTGCAATGACTATAAACCTACTGATTACTTTAGTTGGTTTTTAGTAGTTCTAATTTTTTGGCTTCCATTCACATTTACTTTGGGTTCACAAATACCTCCAAATGCCAGGATCCTAAACCTGTCTCTGACCTCTGTCTTTCCTCCAATGCTGAACCCAATCATTTATGTTTTGCAGACGCAAGAAATCAAAGAATCTATGAAAAAAATATTGAAATTTAGAAAGAAATCCCAAATTACAGTGAAGAGAGAAATCATGAAATGATTATTTGTGTATTTAATTTGGACCTTGTTTTAATGCCGTTAGGTTAATTTGATTAATTTCTTTAACATCCCATACATATTTTAAAATTTAATTAATCACAAGTTATTTCATAGAAATTACATTATAATCATTGAGCTTTAAATTAATTAACTAACTAATAGACAGCACAAAACAGTAAACATTAGAAATACAGTGTGTCAGGTATAACACACCTACTGTACAATGAGAGTTCTCTGCTATTTGTTTTATCTGTGTTTGTGTATTAGGAGGATATTCTGGGAACACATTATTGTGATCAAAGTGTGTGTCTCTGTGCATGTTGTCTTGAAGGATTCTACTGTATATTATAAAACAAATTGTGTCTTCAATGTAGTCTTTTACAGCATAATCAAAAGCATACAAATAAACCAATTTAGTATTCATAAAAATCGGTGACTATAAAAGCTTTTTTTTGCAATCAAATGATGTATCCTTGTTCTGCTTCTTCATGTTTGTCGATGGATACCTCATATTTAAAAAGTAACAAGACATATTTTGTCTCTTGGTCCGCTTCTCTTTTCTGAATCAATCTATGTTTTCTAACTCAACACTAATGACATGAAACCCTTCAGGTTTTTCAGGTACATACTGACTTTAACTGAATAACTTTATTGTTAAGCAGCTGCAAAAAATGTAGAATCTAGAACGGGATTTCTTGAATTTAAACATTTTGTAAGATGAACAACCCAAATGTGCCCAAATGTTTATCCTGAGTAAAGTTATCATCAAGGATGGATGTAGTTTAGACCGATATGACGAGTGGTTTGTGTGGATTTAAAAAAATAAAAAAACGTATGAATATATAAAGAAACTATAATGCTTTCAATTTCAGTCGGGAATGTGACGTGTCCGTAGAAGGTGTTCTAGATTGGGGACCAAATGAATACGTGGCAGTAAATAATTCCCCAGAAATTCACGTATTACTTATCCATGTTAATTTTGTTTTTTAATGAATGTCCTTGGTAGGAATAAATGGACTTTGGTTAAATTCAAAAGTCAGAGTAGCTAAATAGGAAAGTAAAGAGAGAAAGACCATGGCCTTGTCTGCTGCTTGTTAGCCTGCTTGTATCATGTTGTCAGAACTAATTATTAAAGGGCACATGTCATGGCCATTTCCACTGATCATAATTCCATTGTTGAGGTCTACTAGAATAGATTTATATTGTGCAATTTTCCAAACTCACATTGGTTTCTCATACAGCATCTCTGTAAACTACGTGTATTCACTGAATTTCACTCTCTGCCTTTAACGGCTCGTTGTAGCTCCAATAGCTCCAGCCCCCACCCTCCCTGTGAGCACAGTGTGCTCTGATTGGTCGGGACGTTGTGAATCGCGCTGAGCTCCGTGGAGGTGTTGTTTCCTTGTTAGCGATACACAGCCAAACACAGCCAAACTCATCCTGAGCACACACAAAGTCACAGCCGAAGTAAAAACAATAAGTGTGGCTTGATATTGAGTAAGAAAAAGGTTGATAAACGCTGTGAGAATGGGTCTGCAGAGAGAATTTCGCCACGATCCCAACTGTCTGTTATCAGCCTGCAGCCAGGGAGGAGAAATCAGCAGAGCTCCCTGCTCCCTGCACACAGATGTGTGTGTGAGGAAGTCCGTGGATTGGTCAATTTGGACCAATCAGCGGGGGCTTAACGTAACGGCTCCGCGGACGTAACGTAACGGCTCCACGGATTGGTCCATTTCGTTCCGGGTACGGCTTGACATCATGCCGTACCCGGAACGAAATGGAAGAATCAAATGGACAATGACGTATCTCCAACGAGGCGTTTTGGGGAGGTATTTTTTGTGTTAGAGGTTTACTCGCTACAGGGTGTACTTTGAGGGTTTGTGACTCTGCACACCGTTTACATGCATACAAACCTTCATAACACACAAGGGGACGGGTAATAACCGGAAAAGCATGACATGGGCCCTTTAAGCTTCAGGAAATGCTATGATGGCTATGCACAACTTTTGAATTGACTTTTTTTGTGCTTTATTTGGACCAAAGTGAATGTCAAAGGCTGATGTGACATTTACAATATTATCAAATATGTTGACATTTTTAAATACAAAAATAAAACGGCTTTTAAATCAACTGTTTATTTCTGGCTCTTGATGTGATTTTATTTTCTCAGTGTGTCCCTTAGCAAATTGAGTTTAACACTCCTGCTCCGCAGGCTTTGACTAGATAGCTGCATTGGATATTCCTGTCAGTAGACTTCCTAAGTGCAGGAAGTTCATTGGACTAAAGATGTATTTTTTTCTGGTGCTTGTGTACAAGAGACTCAAGGGAACAGACCTTCCATTTGACACAAACAATGTTAGGGATTGCAAAATAGCTAACGCTCATTAAAGCTTCATCGTCGAAGAGAGAGCGAGAGAGAAGAGCTCACCTCTGTCCAACAGAACACAGTGCTGACGCACAGTTCTGTTCTCTGCATTAAAGACTGTGCTTCAGACAGCGTAGGTTTGAGAGGTTTTTCATAATGGACTTCTTCAACTCAGCTCTTGGAAAAAACATCACTTTTGTGCGTCCTGAATATTTCATAATAAGTGGATTTATTGGCATTCCTAATATCAATTATTACTATGTATTCCTCTTTTTTGTTTACATTGTTTCAGTGTTGGGAAACACAGCTGTGATGGCCATAATATACTTGGACCATAGGCTGAGAACTCCAAAATATATTGTAGTTTTTAATTTAGCATTTGTGGACCTGTGTGGTAGCTCTGCTTTGGTGCCAAAGGTTCTTGATATCTTTCTGTTTAACCATCAGTACATCCCCTACGCTGACTGCTTGGCATTTCTTTTTTTCTGCTACACGTGCCTTTCAATGCAGGTTCTTAATCTAGTTGCACTCTCGTATGACAGACTGATAGCTATCATCTACCCACTGCACTACCAAGTGAAGGTGACCCACAGGTTCATGCTGTCTTTGATTGCCTGTTTCTGGGTCTTTGTTATTACTGTTGTACTTATTGCAGTGGGCCTTCTAACAAGACTTTCCTTCTGTAAGTCTGTGGTTATTAACAGCTATTTCTGTGACCACGGCCAGATATATCGGATGGCCTGCAATGACAATAAACCTAACGATGTCATTACTCTGTTTTTAATAGTTTTAATTCTTTGGCTTCCACTCACATTTATTCTGTTTACTTATTCATGTATCGGCTATGCATTGTCTAAAGTTGCCACAGTTCATGAAAGAGTGAAGGCCTTTAAAACCTGCACAGCTCATCTTTCGTTGGTGGTAATCTATTTCGTCCCAATATTAGTCACATTTACTTTGGGTTCACAAATACCTCCAAATGCCAGGATTCTAAACCTGTCTCTGACCTCTGTCTTTCCTCCAATGCTGAATCCAATCATTTATGTTTTGCAGACGCAAGAAATCAAAGAATCTATGAAAAAAATATTGAAATTTAGAAAGAAATCCCAAATTACAGTGAAGAGAGAAATCATGAAATGATTATTTGTGTACTTATTTTGGACCTTGTTTTAATGCGGTTAGGTTAATTTTATAATTTTTTTTAACATCCCGTACATATTTTAACATTTAATTAATCACAAGTTATTTCATAGAAATTACATTATAATCATTGAGCTTTAAATACATAAACTAACTAATAGACAGCACAAAACAGTAAACATTAGAAATACAGTGTGTCAGGTATAACACACCTACAATGAGAGTTCTCTGCTATTTGTTTTATCTGTGTTTGTGTAGTAGGAAGATATTCTTGAAACACATTATTGTGATCAAAGTGTGTGTCTCTGTGCATGTTGTCTTGAAGGAGTCTACTGTATATTAGAACACAAATTGTGTCTTCAATGTAGTCTTTTACAGCATAATCAAAAGCATACAAATAAACCAATTTAGTATTCATAAAAATCAGTGACTATAAAAGGTTTCTTTTGCAATCAAATGATGTATCCTTGTTCTGCTTCTTCATGTTTGTCGATGGATACCTCATATTTAAAAAGTAACAAGACATATTTTGTCTCTTGGTCCGCTTCTCTTTTCTGAATCAATCTGTGTTTTCTAACTCTACACTAATGACATTAAACCCTTCAGGTTTTTCAGGTACATACTGACTTTAACTGAATAACTTTATTGTGAAGCGGCTGCAACAAATCTACATGCTTTAAATTTCAGTCGGGAATGTGGTGTGTCAATTAATGCCCTTGGTCGGAATAAATGGACTTTGGTTAAATGCTAAAGTCAAAGTAGGTAAATGGGAAAGTAAAGAGAGAAGGACCATGGCCTTGTTTGCTGCTTGTTAGCCTGCTTATCATGTTGTCAGAACTAATTATTAAGCTTCAGGAAATGCTATGATGGCTATGCACAACTTTTGAATTGACTTTTTTGTGCTTTATTTGGACCAAAGTGAATGTCAAAGGCTGATGTGACATTCACAATCTTATCAAATATGTTGACATTTTATAATAAAAAACTAAAATAAAAAACGGCTTGTAAATGAACTGTTTATGTCTGGCTCTTGATGTGATTTTATTTTCTCAGTGTGTCCCTTAGCAAATTGAGTTTAACACTCCTGCTCCGCAGGCTTCGACTAGATAGCTGCATTGGATATTTCTGTCAGTAGACTTCCTAAGTGCAAGAAGTTCATTGGACTAAAGATGTATTTTTTTCTGGTGCTTGCGTACAAGAGACTCAAGGGAACAGACCTTCCATTTGACACAAACAATGTTAGGGATTGCAAAATAGCTAACGCTCATCAGAGCTTCATCGTCTGAAAGAGAGCTGAGAGAAGAGCTCACCTCTGTCCAACAGAACACAGTGCTGACGCACAGTTCTGTTCTCTGCATTAAAGACTGTGCTTCGAACAGCGTAGGTTTGAGAGGTTTTTCATAATGGACTTCTTCAACTCAGCTCTTGGAAAAAACATCACTTTTGTGCGTCCTGAATATTTCATATTAAGTGGCTTTATTGGAATTCCTAATATG